AACCAGAGATGCGTCAACCTCCGAGTGTTGCCACGGAAGAGGCTGCTGAAGCAGCGATGGCCGATCCTCCGGAGCCGGCTTCAATCGCTCCCGCGGCTGAGGCAACGCCCGACGGCGGAGACGAGATCCCCTCGCTGTTGGGCCGGTTAGTCTCCGATCGTACAGTGTTGTTGAAATTGAACCCTGACACGAGCGCTTGGGATCGTCTTCCCGCCCGTTCCGGAATCGGCCCTGGCGACCGTCTGTTGGCTTTGCCAGCCTTCGATGCCACGGTCGCGTTGGGCTCCGGGATCAACATCGTGTTGCTTGGCGGAACGATGGTAGAGTTCGGTCCACCCGACGCCAGCGGAGCCCCGATGCTCCGCATTCACTACGGCCGCGTTCTGATGATGACTGCCGGAGGCGATCAGCGTGGCATTCATTTGGTCGCCGATGGACAGCAAGGTTGGCTCGGTCTGGCAGGCCCCAACTCCATTGCTGCGGTCGAAGCCGTGCGAGTGATGATCCCCGGTTCCGACCCTGAGGCCGAGAGTGCTCCGTTGCTGTTCAACTTGTATGTGGGTCAGGGTGAAGTCACATGGCGCACCGCTGCCGACGCCCAGCCAGAAACGCTATCGGCCCCGTATCAGCACACTTTGGGAAGCGATATCGATACCGCAGATCAACCGCTACCCCAATGGGTGATGCAGGACACAACCCCTCTTATCGAGCAACGCGGAGCGGAGTTCATCGAAGAACATCTTTCCGTGGAACGCCCGATTGCCACCCGGGGTGCGTTAAAGGAACTGGTAGATCATCGCCGCAGCGAGGTCAAAGCCTTAGCGGCCCGTTCGCTGGTTCACCTGGGCGTTTACGATCCAGTGATCGAAGCCCTGGCGAATCCGCCTCAACATGCGGCTTGGCCTGCGCTGATTGCTGAGCTGGCCCAGGCAATGGTCCGCAGCCCCGAGCAAGCCACGGCCATTCGGGAAACCTTGCAACTCGAACGCGGCAACGACGGCGATAAGTTGTTCCGGCTGCTACGAGGCTATTCGCCACAGCAACTTCGGGACGGGGCCGCCAACCAGCTCGTAGCCGACTTGGATAATGAAGCCGTTGATATGCGGGTGCTCAGCTTCTGGAACTTGCACCAGATCACCGGCGAGATGAACGCCTACCGTGCCGATCACACGGCCGCCCGTCGAAAACCCGCGGTACAGAAGTGGCGCGAGCAACTCGAGGCCGGCCAGATCGTCTCCTGGGATGAAGCCCCCGCAGCCCAGCCCGGCGAAGCGGCGGCCGAAGGAACTCTGCCGTAGCTTAGGCCTGTCACCCCTCTCGCATCTGCACGATTTACTTGTTTCGTCATGCTGCCCTGTTAGACTCGGACCTTTCATGATCTGAGCCACTTCCGACACGTGGGCACAAACAGGCGGGCATGGCGAACTCAAGTGAACAATCTGGCGACGAGGCGATCGTCCCCGACTCGGTGATTCCGGCGGGTCAGTTGCCGTCGCTGCGTTATCGCGATCTGCCCGAGGTGGTCCCGCTACGACGGATGATCGGCCCCAGCATCATGCTGGCCGGTCTGGCCTTGGGCAGTGGCGAGTTCATCCTCTGGCCGTACATCACCTACCGAAGCGGGTTCGTGTTCTTTTGGGCCTGCTTGCTGGGTGTGACGACCCAGTATTTCATCAACATGGAAATCACCCGGTGGACGTTGGCTACCGGGGAAAGTGCGATAACCGGCTTCTGCCGCCTGCATCGTCACTGGGGCCCTGTGTTCCTGGCCCTGAATATCATCCCGTGGATGATTCCTGCCTGGGCTAAGGGCGCTGCCCAACTTGTGAGTTGGCTTATCTGGCCCGATCAGGCCGGCACAGCCGACAGTCCTTACGTTACGGAACTTTCCATCGCAGGGCTGGTGATCTGTGGAGTAATACTCACAGCGGGCCCGGTGATTTACGAAACGGTCGAAAAGATTCAGTTGTTCCTGGTCTCGGTGGTCATCCTATCGGTGATCGTCTTGGCCTTTTGGTTGGTTCGTCCTGACGCCGTCTCGGCCATGGCTGCCGGTGCGGTGAACGTAGGTGGATTGCCTCCGATGGACGCCCAAGTGATCACCTGGACTTTCTTGTTGGGTGCTCTGGCATTTGCTGGAGCCGGCGGAACACTGAACCTGGGCCAGAGCAACTACATCAAAGACAAGGGATACGGCATGGGGCGGCACATCGGCCGCATCACCAGCCCCATCACCGGACAGGAAGAGGCCGTGGCTGAAATCGGCTATCACTTCCCCGCCAACGAAACCAACCTGAAGCGGTGGGCACACTGGTGGAAGGCCGCGTGCATCGAACATTTCCTAAGCTTCTTTCTGACCTGCCTGGTCTGCCTCGTCCTGTTGACGCTGATTTCCTACAGCATCTTTTACACGCCCGAAGGACAGCTTGCTGAAGGCGCTCGCGACTACCTCAACGACATTACCTTCGTGTGGGGTGAGGCCGTGGCCATTGAGGAAACCCTTGGTCATAGCTTTCGCCTATTGTTCCTGGTGATGGGCGTGGCAATTCTGCTAACCACCGAATTCGGCGTGCTCGACGCTACTTCGCGGATCTCGTCAGACATCGTCAAAGTGAATTGGCTCTATGAGAATGAGCGATTCTCCGAAAGCCGCCTGTATTACCTCTTCTTATGGGGGACCATCCTGCTGGGGATCGCCATCTTGGTGCTCGGCGATGAGCAGGCCGGGGCCTTCTTCTTGTTCAAGCTCACCGCCGCGCTCAACGGGGCGGTCATGTTCATCTACTGCACGTTATTGCTGTACATGAACCGCTTCCGCCTGCCAGAGGCCATCCGCATCAACGCCTGGCGGTCGGTGATGCTCGTCTGGGCGATCTTCTTTTTCGGCCTTTTTGCCATCTGGGCGATCTACGACAAATTGGCCCCACACTAAGGTCGGCGTTCGACTGCACCAGAACTATCTCACCTAAACCATTGCCAGCACACACCTTGAAGTTGGCGGCCTATGGCCACTTAAGACCCTGCGTAAAAAGGGTAGACTAAGGAAGCTCTTTGTTGCGTAATATGAATTTGAGGCCTGCGAAGAGCCTCTTTGTTGGCGTGATGGTGCTTTTCTTTGAGATGTTTGCCTGGGCCACTCGATTTTTCGGGGCTCTGAGACTCCACCCCCTGGTCGCCCCCGGGCTGCACAGTAAGATCGTCTCAACTTGTTCGAGCCAGCGGCACCGTTTGTTCCGCAGACACCAGCTCGATAGAATGGCGAGTTCGACTCTTGCTTTCTCATCGAAAGCAAAAGCTACAACTGGAGTTAGACTAAGGAGATCTTGGTGCAGATCCGAATTTCGGCCCGACACGGCCACTTGGGAGAGGCCACTCAGGCAAAGATCGAGGCAAAGGTTCAAAAGTTCGTGAAACTTTTTGATCGCCTTACGGAAATCGTGGTCACCGTCGACTTGGAAAACGAAGAAGAAGTTGGCGTCGATCTTCTCGTCTCAGCCGAGCATAAACACGACTTTGTCGCCGCAGCCCGAGCTGAGGACCTGATGAAGGCTCTCGATCTGGCAATGCCCAAGATCGAACAGCAGCTGCGTAAGTATAAAGAGAAGGTTCAAAACCATCACCGAAAGTCGGGAGCCCGAGAGCAAGACTCTTCGGTCTCTCCCGAGTTCGAATAAGCAGAAGCGTTGCAGAGTTATTTGTTTCTTAGCGAGTGATGAACCCGTGGTCTGCCGGCTTTTTGCATGGCAAGTAGCACCGTAAGTTCGTTCTCGATACACCACATACAACAGCTAAGTTAAATCGAAAGGAGTGGGTACATGAAGTTCTCCGACTTCGTGTGCCGCGAATCAATCAACGCTGACCTTGAAGCAGATGACAAGGAAAGCGTCATTCGCGCGATGACACGATCGTTGCTCGAGCACGGGCAGATCGCCGAGGAAGAGTACGAAAGCATTGTGAAGGCCGTTCTCAAACGAGAGGAACTCGGCAGCACCGGCATCGGCCGTGGCGTCGCGGTTCCGCACACCAAGCACCCGAGCGTCGATCGGTTGTTGGGAACGGTGGCCGTGAGCGAGGAAGGCGTCGACTTTGCCAGCCTCGATGGTGAACGCGTCCAGCTTTTCTTCCTGTTGGTTTCTCCTCCAGATCGGCCGGGCGATCACCTTCGCGCACTGGAAAACATTTCGCGGCAACTACGTAACGATACGTTTTGCAGATTTCTAAAGCAGTCGAAAACCAGCGATGATATCGCTCAACTTCTCGACGAAGCAGATAACAACCAGTTCAGCGGCTAACGCGGCTTAGCATAAAGGGCTTATTTCGCCCGACGATGAACAGTCGAGGGCTCGGCCACCACAGCCGGCGAATCGAGCGGGTTCTCGCCGAGCGATACTTGCACCTGGCAGGCTGAGACGGAAACCCTGTGCTGTACCACCCCCGGACTCCTGGCGTTCTTGGCCAGTAGTCGAAGGTTGGCTCATGCTCTTCTCAACTTGCCAGCAAGGTGGTTGCAAGCAGTTAAACGATGAGTGATTCGAAGCTCTCCGTAAAAATTGTGATCCGGCATTCCCGAGGATTGCACGCGCGCCCAGCGCAAATCTTCTCTGAACGCGCACTGCAATACAAATCGACCATCGTCGTGTTCAAGGATAACGTCGATGCTGATGCGAAAAGCATCATGCATTTGTTATCATTAGGGGCCGGGCCGAATACGGAAATCACCATCTGTGCTGAAGGCGAAGACGCCCAGGAAGCCCTGGATGCTTTGACTGCTTTAATCGAAGACGATTTTGGAATTCCTAACGACGAAGAAGAGGAATAGGTAGCCGACCGCCTGGTCGAAAAACATGGCGAGCAGTGTAGTGCCTCAGTAACCGTGCTAGCCACAGCCGCGATCCTCGCGAGATGCGACAGAGTCGGCTAAGAGCCAAACAGCCCGCTACGGTTGAGCCACGAACACTGCCTCGCGCGACCGCGAATCGGCACCTGCCGGAATAACCGTTATGCACCGACTCCAAGGGATCGCTGTTTCGCCGGGTGTTGCCATCGGCGAAGCGATGGTCATGGACCACGAGGGCTTCCGCATCCCTCGTCGCTTCGTCGGACGCGACGCGGTCGAGTTCGAGCTGGAACGCTTAGAAAAGGCCATCGAGGCCTCGGCCGGCGAAATCGAGCGGAATCGCGACGCGGTGGCTCGCGAGTTGGGCGACGACTACGCTGCCATCTTCTCCGCCCACCTGCAAATGCTTCGCGACCATCGCCTGCACAGCGAACTGGTCGAGATGATCCGCGACCGCCATTATTCGCCCGAGTACACTGTTAGCCGCGTGATGCGCCGCTACGCCAAGGTGTTCCAGGGCTTGGAAAACAGCTATCTCTCCGAGCGGGTCAACGACATCTTCGATCTCGAGCGCCGCTTGCTGCGGAACCTGCTTGGTCGCCGGCGCGAAGAACTGGACGATGTACGTTCTCCCGTGCTGGTGTTGGCCCACAATCTCACCCCCAGCGAGACGGCAAATCTCGATCGGCAGTTTGTCCAAGGCTTCGTCACCGAAGAAGGTGGTCCCGGTAGCCACACGGCGATTGTCGCTGGGGCACTGGAAATTCCGGCCGTGGTTGGAACTGGGCCGTTTCTCACCGACGTCTCCGGCGGCGATCTAGTGATCATCGACGGCGACGAGGGTTTGGTGATCCTTCATCCCGACGAAGAGACCATCGCCCGCTATCGTCACGAAGCCGAAGAGCACCGCGTGTGGAGTGCCCGGCTGGAAACCCTTCGCGATCTTCCGGCTGAAACTGCCGACGGCACCCGCATTCAGTTGATGGGCAATATCGAGTTCCCGCACGAGGTGCAACATTGCGTCGAGCGTGGTAGCGACGGCGTGGGACTCTATCGTACAGAGTTCCTGTACCTGGGCACCGAGATCGAGCCGACCGAAGAGGTGCACTACGAGGCCTACGCCAGCGTGGTGAAGGCCATGAACGGGAAGCCAGTTGTCATCCGCACGCTCGACCTGGGGGCCGACAAGATCGTCCGCAACCTGGGCATCGGCACCGACCAGTCGAACCCCGCCTTGGGCCTGCGAAGCATTCGACTGTCCTTGCGCAATTTACCTGTCTTCCGCACTCAGCTACGGGCCATCCTCAGAGCCAGCGTGCTGGGCGACGTTCGGGTGATGTTCCCGCTCGTTTCCACGCTGCTGGAGCTGCGTCAGTCGAAGATGGTTCTGGCCGACGTGATGGAGGACCTAGAAGAACGTAACGTGCCATTCAACCGAGACTTACGTGTCGGCATGATGGTCGAGGTACCCTCGGCCGTGATCATGATCGAGCCGTTCGTCGAGGAAATGGACTTCATGAGTATTGGCACGAACGATCTAATTCAATACACCTTGGCCGTCGATCGTGGCAACAAGGACGTCGCGCCGTTGTATAATGCCAGCGACCCAGCCGTGTTGCGTTTGATCAATATGGCGGTCCGTGCGGCCGAGCACGGGGATATCCCGGTCAATGTTTGCGGCCAAATGAGTGGAAGTCCGACGTACACCATGTTGCTACTGGGGCTTGGCCTCCGGCAGCTTAGCGTTCGTCCAAGTGCTATACCCGAAATCAAGAAAGTGTGTCGCAGCGTTACGATTCCGCATTGCGAGGCGGTCGCCAAGCATGCCATGACACTCGAAAACGCTCGCGATGTGAAAAACTATCTGAAGGAGGAGCTAAAAAAACTGCTGCCCGAGTTCGTCGGTTAGCAGAAACTGGTTCTTAGAACCACAACACCCTGTCGTACGGTTTGTAGTCTGACACCGATACGACACACTGCGGCACCGCACACCAATGTGGGTGGGCGGCCGCGACACATGAAACACACAGCGTTCCTCCCCACAACGGCAGTGGAGAGGACAAGGAACCGATGGTTCGACACCGAGTTCGTATTCGTTTCCGAAAAGAGGGTGACCTGCGGCTAATCAGCCACCGGGACCTGATGCGCACCTTCGAGCGACTTTTTCGCCGGGCACAACTACCCCTGGCGCAAACCGAAGGCATGCATCCGCGCGCGCGACTCCGCTTCCCTTCAGCCCTGGGGCTGGGGATCATAGGACTCGACGAGGTTCTGGAGACCGAGTTGACCGAGGCACCCAGTACGGACGAACTGTTGGCGTCGTTGCAAAACCATGCCCCCCCTGGCTTAGGAATTTACCGCGTAGACGTCGTGCCGCCCGATACTGCGAAAGCGGCAATTCGAAGAGCGACCTACGAAATGATGATTCCAGCCGATCGCCGCTCAGAAGTATCACGTCGTGCCACGGAGCTGATCGCCAGCCCCTCATGCACCATTGAACAAACTTCCAATGGCCGCTCTGTCGATGTCAGGGCGACCCTCGAAGAACTTGAGATGGAAGACGACGTGCTGCGAATGAAGATTTCCGCCGCGGCAGACGGGGGCATTTCGCCTCGCAACGTGCTGACAACCCTGGGCATTGACGATCTTCCGGAACAAGGGAGCGTTCTGACGCGATCATGCGTCGAGCTGCGATGACACATCCCAACGCCAACTCGATCGTTGCCCGCCTGTCCTTCGGACAACTACGGACTCCTGCGCTTTGCCGAAGTAGAAAGCAGACGAATGAAGCAGGAGATGTTGATCAATGTCTCGCAACCGGAAGAATGCCGGATTGCCATCGTTGAAGACGGCATACTTGAAGAGCTCTACGTTGAGCGAAGTAGCCAAGACAACTACGTAGGAAACATCTACAAGGGACGGGTCGTCAACCTGGAACCCAGTATTCAGGCGGCTTTTGTCGACTTTGGAGTCGGCCGCAACGGGTTCTTGCATATCAGCGACATCGAGCCCCAGTACTACCGCCAGGGTGGCTACGACCCTTCGCAGCCCATTGAAAACGGTCGCGGCGGCCGGCGCGTCGTCACGCCCGATGGCGACTCGGAGTCGATCGACGACTTGTCTGAGAACGGCAATAACGGGGGCTCCAGCAACGGCGGTTCAAGCAACGGGGGCGGTCGCCAGAAGCGCGGTCGCCGTACTCGTCCCGGGGCCCGCCCACGAGTGAAGCCCCCGATCCAAGACATCTTGCGCCGCGGCGACGAGCTGCTGGTCCAAGTCATCAAAGAAGGAATCGGCACCAAGGGTCCCACGCTCTCAACCTACATCAGCATTCCTGGGCGTTACCTAGTGCTCATGCCAGCGCTGGGCCGCGTGGGAATCTCGCGCAAAATCGAAGACGAAGAAACGCGTCGCCGCCTCCGCGATACGATGCTCGAGCTGAATCCGCCCAAGGGGCTGGGGTTCATCGTACGCACCGCGGGAATCGATCGAACCAAGAAAGAACTCTCCCGCGACCTGGCCTACCTGGTTCGGTTGTGGAAGGTGATCGTCCGCCGCATTCGCAAGTGTACGGCTCCCGTCGACATTTACGAAGAAAGCGACATGATCATCCGGACCATTCGCGACATCTTCACCAGCGAAGTCGACTCGATCTACATCGATGAGCCCAAAGCCTACGAACGGGCGAAAGAGTTCCTGCAAATTGTCATGCCGCGGTACGTGAACCGGCTGCAGCAGTACGAAGGTCGAGAGCCCTTGTTCCATAAATACGGTCTCGACGAAGCGATCTCGCAGATCCATCGCCGCGATGTTCCGCTCCCGCAGGGTGGTTCGATCGTGATCGATCAGACCGAAGCCCTGGTGGCGATCGACGTGAACAGCGGAAACTTCCGAGCCGACGACTCGGCCGAAGAGACCGCCTACCAAATGAATCTTCAGGCCGCTCGTGAGATTGCCCGCCAGTTGCGTCTTCGCGACTTGGGGGGTGTGGTGGTCAACGACTTCATCGATATGCGAAAAGAAAAGCACCGACGCGGGGTCGAGCGAGCCCTTCGCGATTCGGTCAAACGCGATCGGGCCCGCACGAAGATCCTCCGCACCAGCCCCTTCGGGCTGATCGAGATGACCCGGCAGAGGATTCGCCCCAGTATCAAGCGGAGCGTCTTCAGCGACTGCCCCGGCTGCCACGGCACTGGGGTGGTGAAGACCTCGGAAAGTATGGCCATCGAGGTGGTGCGGGTGCTGATGCTGGCTTCGCAACGCGAGGACATCAAGCGAATCGAGGTCCACGTCATCGACGATGTGGCCACCTACCTGAACAACAAAAAACGCCGCGAATTGGCCAAATTGGAAGACGAGGGCGAGATTACGGTCCAAATCTTCGGCCGCAAAGGTGTTTCGCCCGAGTTTCTGGAAGTGACCTGCCACGATTCCGACGGCCGAGACGTGAAATTCCCCTAATAAACCGGGAAATCACGGGCTCGACGGCGGGGCATTTCGTGGGTAAATTGTAGGGTTTCCGGATTCCGACAAGGTCGGCCGTGGGGTGTTTTGGGGAGATTCCCCGCCCAGGCAGAAATCGGCCAGATTGATAAACGACGAATAGGTGCTGAGATGTACGCGATCATTAAAGACGGCGGACGCCAATACAAAGTGGAAGAAGGCCAGGAGCTGGACATCGACTATCGCGATGTTTCCTCGGGCGACACCGTGACCTTCGATTCGGTTCTGGCAGCCGGCGTTGGCGAGGGGCTGAAAATCGGCCGCCCGCTGCTCGATGGAGCCACCGTCACTGCCGAGGTGATCACCGCCACCCAAGGCGAGAAGCTCGTGGTGCAGAAGTTGCGACGTCGCAAGAACTCGCGACGCAAGACCGGCCACCGCCAGCTCTACACGCGTGTTCGCATCGGCAAAATCGAAGCCTAATCAAACCCGCTTGTCAGCACACATACCTCTACGGTTACTATTAACGGTCGCTCGCCCAAGTTTCGGTGAGCGGCCGTTTTTTTGTTTTCACCACTGGTTCTAAATCAAACGTGTCGGGCCGCACCGCTCGTCACGAGGAGAATACCATGACGCGGATATTGGGCTGGGTCTGGAGCCGCGGCATCGTTTCCACATTCCTTGCCGGCTTGTTCGTTATCCTGCCGATTGCCATCACCGTTGGCATCATGAGTTGGGTCGGTGGGTTTCTCGAACAGTTTGTTGGCCCCAACAGTTTCATCGGCCGCGCGCTGCAGGAACTGGGGGTCCAGCTAGTGAACGAGGACCTAAGGGATTGGGCCTCCTTCGTCGGTTGGGCCTTGGTGCTCACCGCTATCTGGTGTCTGGGTCTGTTGGTGAAGAGCAGCGCCCGAAACAACATCGAAACGCTGGTTCAATCGACCGTGGGGCGCATCCCCATCTTGCGAAGCGTTTACAAACCCGTATCGCAAGTGGTCGACATGATGGCCGGCAAAGATCAGGCCGACGTGAAAGGTATGACCGTGGTCTACTGCGAGTTCGGTCAAGAACGGGGCGGCGGCTTTCTGGGCCTCCTCACCAGCAACGCCCTATATCGCTTTGGCGAGCAAGATTGCCACGTGGTCTACATCCCCACATCGCCGATACCCATGTCTGGGGGAATCATCTTCGTTCCCCACAAAGCCGTTCGCGTGGTGGATATGCCCGTGGACGACCTGATGCAGATCTACTTCTCACTGGGCGTGATGTGCTCGAAGGTCGTGCCTGGCGAGTATGCCTCACCCGCCAAGGCTGAGTAGCTCAGCCGTGAATGGCAAGACTCGTTCGATCGAAATTCAGACCTAGGCCACCCCTAGCTGAAAAATCGTTCCAGCACTTCGTCGGTGGCCTGGTACTGCGGATGACCGAGCCGATTGAGCGTTGTGCCCAGGGCAGACATCTCGTCCGAGTCCAGCACTTCATGATCGTTGGCGCCGAACATCTCATCGCTGAAGGCCGCATCCTGAGCGGCTTCGTTGTTCTGCAGAGTCAGGCTGTTCAGCACCGCTCGTCCGGCCACCGAAGAGAAGAAGCGTTCGGCCGGCAACTCCGTAGACATGCTCGTTGTCGGGTTGTCGTAGGTCGAAACGTCGAGTGCACTGCCGGCCAGGGCCGATGTCAGACCTTGATCGCCCGACACATCTAGTTTTTCCCCATGCACGCCAATTTGCCGCCAACTCAACGGGGCGAATCCTCCCAAGCTCGAAGCTGGAATCGAAGGGCCCGGTTGCTTGGCTGAGGGAATCACCGTGGTCTGCTGCCCAGGGGTCCAATGCCCCGCCAGCGGAACAAGGCCGGCGCCGCCGTAGGTAAACGGCGTCACATCAGCGGCCCCCGGCGTGTTGGTGTTACGTAAGTGGTACTCCCCGGTCTGTGGGTTCCACACACCAATGGTATCGGTGTACTCACCATCCCAATCGCCTACCACCGGTTTCCAGCCAGAACCACCATAGGAGAACGGCCCGACATCGACCGCCCCTGCACTGTTGGTGTTGCGTAGGAACCAACTCGCGGTAACCGGCTCGAAGACACCGATCGTATCGATGCCGTCACCGTCCCAGTCGCCTACCACGGGGGTCCAACTGGGGGCACCATAGTCGAACGAGGTGTTTGCCGGCCCAGTCGTGTTCGAGTTGCGAAGGAAGAACGAACCGGTCTGCGGATTGAACACCCCCACGGTGTCGATTCCGTCGCCGTTCCAGTCGCCAGCCAGCGGAATGTACCCAGGCTTACCAAAGTTGAAGGCCGTCGCGCTGCCGGGGGTACCCAAGGCGTTAGTGAGGAAGAAATTCGAAGTTTGTGGGTCGTACACACCAACGGTATCCACGCCGTCGCCGTTCCAGTCGCCCACAATTGGCACCGAACCCGGGGTACCAAAGTTGAACGTAGCGACGTCCGGGGCTCCTGAAGTCTGCGAACCCCGGAGGAAGAACGTCCCCGTCTCCGGGCGATAGACCGCCGGCGTGGCAAAGGCCACCAGCTTCTGTACCGCTTGAGGCGACGAACTAGGGTCGGGGTTGACCGTAATCGTCACGGTCACATTACCCGTGGTCTTTCCTTCGATGTCCGTCACGTTGTACGTGAATGTATCCACGCCAACGAAGTCGGCCGCAGGGCGATAAGTCACCTTGCCCGTGGCGGGGTTCTGAGCCGCAGTGCCGAAGTTTGGACCACTGACGATAACAAGCGAATTGTTCGGGAAGTAACCGTCAGGGTCGGTATCGTTGGCCAAAACGTCGATCACCACCGCTTGGTTCTGCGTGGTGGTCGCGGTATCAGCAACCGCCGTGGGCGGCATGTTGATGTCGTAGCCAATCAGGTCCAACGCCCACAAGTCGGCCGCACTGATCGGCGTAGCCACACCAAAGTTCAGCGTCGGGTCCATGATTCCGATGGTGTTGAATGTAAGTAAATCGTCCTTCCAGTGGCTGGCCTGCCTGAAGTCGCCCAGGAACGAACCGGTGGACATTTGAAACTCTTGCGAACCATCGTCCATCACAGCTTCCACACCCGGCTGCAACGAGCGCGGTGTATAACGGAAGTCGGCCGCATTCTCCGGATCGAACCCGGGCACATTGTCGGCGAAGCGGAAGAAATCCATCACGCCCGGCGTGATCAGGTTCGGAATACCATAAGGAATAATCCCAATTGCCTGGAGAAAATCGACTGTGTCGACCTCAGAAACAAACCCCAGCGCGTGTCCGATTTCATGAGCGGCCACCGTCTCGAAATCGATTAGCCCCGCTCCCACACCATCGCGGTTGTCGTAGTCGAAGGCAAACTGGGTGTTGAACTGAATGGTCGCGTCTGCGATTCCGGAGAATATGTCCAGGTCTTGAAAACCAAGGGCCTTGAGATTTGCCTTTGTGCCCTGAATGCCGCCGGTGGGAGCAAAGTTCGGCGGGAATGCCCATTGGGCTTCGGCCAGGGTAGGCAGGTAGTTGAGGATGCTTTCACCTGCTTCAGCGTCGTTGATCAGCGCCGTTCGCATATTGTCGTGGCTGGCGAATGGCATCACGCTGGCCGCCTGCCCGATGATTGATGGGCTACCCAAGTCGACCAGGTCGGCATTGATGACAACCGTGATGTCGTCGTCGATGTACTGCTCCCACTGCGCTGCCCCGCGATTGAACGCCGCCAGCGCAGCGAAGTCGAGCGACAATGCTGGCCCGGGGACGATCACAATATCGAACGCCAACATTTCGCGTCGTTCCAACGCTTCAGATTGGAGCCTCAAACTCTTCCGTCTTCGGAGCATGTCGTTATCGTCCGCCGGGGGTGGAAATGCTTTGACCGTCTAGGGTTGGCCTCAAGAATCCAGAGTATTCTGGGGCCCTGCCTAGATCAAATATTCGGCCCGCATTTGGTCCGGAATTGAGGGTCGCACCGCCAGCGATGGCTCCGGCGGCCGATTTCCAGCATTTGGGTCCGGATTCGCGGCCCCTGATCCAGAAGCAGGTCGGAATTTCTAACCAATTCGCCGAGCCACCTGGGCTAGAATACTCCGGCCTTCCCGAACGGGAAGCAGTAGCAAGGTAGCCGCTAAGCCAATTTCAAAATCAATTTTCCCGAGGGCACAACACCATGCAGCGTATCACACACATCGGCGTTTTCTCCCTGGCCAAGATCATGGGACTATCCTTGCTGCTCGTCAGCGCGATCGTGGCCTTAATCTACGGTGCGATAGGTATGCTCATGCTTGCGGTTGGGATGGCCGCCGCTGAAGGACAAGCAATCGGTCCTTTCGAAATAGGCGTGGTTGTCGGCATGCTCGTCGCCATGCCAGTCGCCTACGGTATCCTTGGATTCATCATGGGAGCCGTCTACGCCGTAGTACTGAACCTAGTATTCAGCTTGGCCGGTGGGATGGAAGTGAAAATTGAGGTGGATTGAGTCCTGAAGAGATTCAGCCACCAAAGCCATCGACCGGCACCACTTTCTCTCCAGCCGACTCTAGCGCTGCCAGATTGATACACAGCGTATGCCGCGCATCTTCCAGCGAACAGCGGAAGGCGGGCTTACCGTTGGCGGCGGCCAACAGGGTCTCGGCCTGGCGGCGGAAGAGGTCGTCGCGTTCGTTCACCAGCGGTTCGCTCCACTGCCACGCTTCGTCGCCGTGGTTGAAGAGCCCCCAGCGGTGTTCGTGGAATTGCAAACGCAAACTGCCCCGGTCGCCGTTGAGTTGCAGCATGCTCTCGTTGGGGGCCATGAATTGGTTCAGGGCCAGCGAGACCATCACCCGACTGTCCGCAGCTCGGGCGGTGAGATGAACCGTGTCTTCGACCTCCACACCTTCCAAGGCTTGATGCCCGTAGTCGCAGAAGACCGAATCGAAGCGGCCGGCGAGGTACTGAATTAGATCGAATGAATGGGTCGCCGCATCTTGCACGGCCCCGCCACCCGTCTCGCGGCGGGTGTAATAAATCTCCCGATATGCCGGACGAAAGGTCGGGAAATGTTGGCCCCCAACGTAAGTGACCTGCTTCAGCTCTCCGATGCGACCCTCGTCCAATTGTTCCTTCACCGCCTGCACGGCCGGATGCCCCCGCATGACATAGGCCACCCCGACGGGCTTCTCTCGGGCCGCCTCGAGCAGTGGTTCTAACCCGTCGAGTGATATCGCTAACGGCTTTTCAATCAGCATCGCCCGGGTGCTGGGGAGTAGCTTCAGTGCGTGTTGAACGTGCAGGTGAGCCGGCGTGCAGATGGCCACCGCGTCCCACTCGTGTTGGGCCGCCTTGCCAATGTCGGCGAACACCTTCGACAGCGGATACCGCTCAGCCAGTTCTTTGCGAATCGTGTCGTTCGTATCGCAGAGCGAGACCCGTTCGGCCCCCACCTGGTTGACGCAACGGAGATGACGTTCGCCAATGGAACCGCCACCGACAATGAGCACGTTCATAGAATTGTCCACCCACCATCGACCATGAGATTCTCACCCGTTACATACCGCGAGGCATCGGATGCCAGGAACACCACCGCCCCCTGGATGTCGTCGTTGTCCATCATTCGCCCTAGCGGTACCCGGTGCGAGTATTGCTCGACGAACGACTTTGGCTGTTCGTCGAAGTACCCGCCGGGGCTGATGCAGTTGGCTCTCACGCCCTGTTTGCCGTAGTAACTGGCCAGGTATCGCGTGTAGTTGATCATTCCGGCCTTCACGAAGTTGTACGTCGGCGGCTGCACCATGTCGGTGCCTTCGTAAATCGTGGGGTCGTTGGCCACCACGCCATAGATGCTCGAGATGTTGATGATCGATCCCCCGCCCTGTTCCGCCATGTCGGCCACAAACAACTGACAAATCCGCAACAGTCCTGCCAGGTCGCCCGTACCGCAGTGTTGCCACACCTCGGGGGTTTGATCCTGCAATCCACCCTTGTGCCCGTCGCGGGCAAGTGCCGAGTTGACCAAAACATCGAGCCGCCCAAAACGTTCGATCACTAGGCTGTGCAATCGGTCGATCGAGTCGAGATCCTCCAAGTCGAACTGCAACGCGTGCGCGTCGTGCCCCTGGCTGCGCAGCCCGGCGGCAAACTCCTCGTTGCGTTCCATCGAACGCGAGGCCGTAACCAACGTGGCCCCCGCTTCGGCCAGGGCCTGGGAGATGCTCGATCCAAACAGCGGGCCCGACCCGGCGGTAACCAAAGCCACGCGCCCGTCGAGTCGAAAGCGGTCCAGAATGCTCATCGGTGTTGTACTTCTCGTTTTGGTTGGAACTGCCGGCGGGAATTAGCTGGTGAGGTTCAAGCTATCGTGTTGCGACTTCAGTGCCTGTTGGTAACGGTCGAATGCCGCTTCGTCGCGGCGGCACTTCTCACCCTTGAACACCATGGCGAACGCCCGACGGTGCCGCGTGGGGCTGCGGTTGGGCTCGGCCCGATGAATGGTTTCGCCGTGATGCACCACCAAATCGCCGCGGTTCAGCCGCACCGGCCGTTCAAGCTGCTCGTCGTCAGGGCCATAGTCGGCAATCGCCTGTGAGAAGCCAACCATCGCACTCAAGCCATGCGGGCGAATGCCCCGCTTGTGCGAGCCCTGCACGTAGATCAGTCCGCCGTTCTCGGAGTCAACATCGTCGAGAGCAAGCCAGGCGGTTAACACCTGCGGTGGGGTTAGGCAAAAATAGTAGTTGTCCTGATGCGGCGGGGTGGCATGATCGGTTCCGGCCGGCTTGTTGAACCATTCCGGGCCCTCGCACCTGGCCGTGTCGCCAAGGATCGTCTCGGCCATCGAGTTCCATCGCGGATGGTTAGCGTAGTCGCGGAAGTAGGGATCGATATCCATGTGCTGCAGTTGCTTGAGCGTTTCCGGCCGGGTCTGTTCGACATAAAACGCATGTTTCGCGGTCAGCCCTGGGACGACCTCGCGAATGTAGCGATCGATGTTCTCCTGCAGCTCGGCCAGTTCTTCGTCGGCAAGGAAGCTGGGGATGACGAAAAATCCGTCCCGTTCGTAGTCCGCCACATACTGCTCATACGCCATCGGTCGATCTCCCAATCACGAACGCTTGAAGTCAGGCGCCTCAAGCCAAACGGTACCACATCGGTCGCCGGCTGCAATCACGCTGACAAGATGAATGCCCCGGCCCGCGCTGCTTGGCTCGCCCTCGAACGTGACGTATTGTACGGGTCGCTTTGATCCCCGGTGGCAGTTGTTGGCCGTTGTAATGACGGCGGAGCGTGTTTCATGTCGCAAACCGAGAAGCAACGAACCATCGCCCGCTCGATGGAGCTGTACCGACGAGCCGTCGAGTTGATTCCGGGCGCCACCCAGTTGGTCAGTCGCCGCCCGACGCGTTTCGCCTATGGAGTCTCGCCCATCTATGCAGAACGAGCCGCCGGGCCGCGGATGTGGGACGTCGACGGCAACGAGTACATCGACTGGGTCAGCGGTATCGGGGCCATCATCCTGGGCTATGCCGACCCGGTGGTCGACGAAGCGGTCTGCGAACAACTTTCGAGGGGAACCATCTACTCGATCAACCATGCCTTGGAAGTGGAACTGGCCGAGTACCTGGTCGACCTGGTGCCGTGTGCCGAGATGGTTCGCTATGCCAAGGGCGGCGGGGAAGCCTGCGCGATGGCGGTCCGCATCGCCCGCGGTGCCACCGACCGCGACAAGGTCTTATTCTGCGGCTACCACGGCTGGCATGATTGGTACCTGGCCGCGAACCTTTCGGCCGATGCCAATCTGAACGCCCATCTCTTCCCCGGCATCGACCCAATCGGAGTGCCCCAAGCCCTGGCCGGCACGGCGATCCCATTTGCTTACGGTGATGCCGACGCTCTGGGCGAACTGTTAGACACACACCGCGGTGAGGTGGCCGCCGTGATCATGGAGCCGCTCCGCAGCGACGAACCACCGGAGGGTTACTTGGAATCGGTGGCTAAGCTTTGTCGCGAGCGAGGCGTGGTGCTCATCTTCGACGAAGTCTCCACCGGCTTCCGGCACGGCCCGGATGGCGTTCAGACGCATCTTGGAGTGACTCCCGACATGGCAGTGTTCGCCAAGTCGATTTCCAACGGCTATCCGTTCGGCGCGGTGGTTGGAAGACGGGAAGTCATGGAGCCGGCCGCGCGGATGTTTGTTTCCAGCACTTACTGGAGCGACACAATCGGCCTTCGGGCAGCACTCACCACCCTCCAAGAAATCGCCCACCGCGACGTGCCCAAGCATTGCCGACAACTTGGCCTTCGTTTGCAGGACGAACTCAACAAGCTGGCTGAGGAAACCTCTTGCCCGGTGGCCTGCCGCGGCGTGGCAGTTCACCCCCGCCTCGACTTTGAAGTCGAAGACGACCAACTCCGGGGGCAGTTGGCCACACTTTACATCCAAGAAATGGCAAAACGCGGCTGCCATGGCTATCCTTCGTTCTATCTCAACGCCGCCCAAGGCGACGATGAGGTCGAACAAACAGTGACCGCCGCCCGGGAGACGTTCCAGTTCATCGCCAAAGCCATAGATGCCGGCGATGCCACCCGTTTCCTGGAATGCGAACCCCAACAAGAAATGTTCCGCCGCCTGGTGCGGTGAGGCATTCCGCAGCTCGCAGCCCTGCCCAATTCAACCCCGCATCAGCCATCTAAAAAAACCAGGCTCGACTAATGAGATCTGTCCTCCCGCTCGTCATCGCCTGCACGCTCTTCTGCTCATCATCCCTTGCCGCAGAGCCACCCCGGCTAATCGCCCATCGAGGTGGAGTGGTTGAAGAAGGGCTCATCGAAAACAACAAGCCGGCTCTGGAGGAAGCAATCGACCGAGGCTACTGGATGATCGAAGTCGATGTGCGGGAGAGTAAAGACGGGCATCTGGTCGTGCATCACGACGCCAACTTTTCGCGCTACTATGGCGACAAGCGGTTGCTGAGTGAGATGACCTGGGACGAGATATCCCAACTTCGTTCGACGCCTGGCGATTTGAGGCCCCTGTCGTTCGGCGAGTATGCGGCTTTGTGCAAAGACCGTATCCGCGTGATGATCGACACGAAGGAGCCCGAGCATGGCACGGCCTTCTACGAAACGATGCTCGCGGAGCTTGAGAAGAATGACCTGCTCGATACCGCCTACGTGATTGGAACCGAAGAGTCGAAGCAGTTCTTCCTGGACAAGTCCCGCGTGGGCATCAACGCCGAAGGACTCGAGCAGGCGGTTGAGCGTGGCGAGAATGTCGCCGAGCGGTACTTCCTGTTCGTGCACGGCAAGGGGCTCGATGCAGCAGTGGTCAAGCGTGCCCAGGAACTGGGAGTGCCGGTGGTCCCCTCGATCAATACGTTCCACTACTTTGGGCAGGAACACATGCCTGCGGCCAAGGCCGACGCCCTTCGTCTGAAGGAGCTTGGCGTGGTCGAATTCCAGATCGATTCGGTCTACGACCCTTGGCTGCAACCCAAGCCATAAGCACCGACCCTCACGCAGTCGCCATGAGGAAGAGCCTGCTTGTTATAACGACCGTGCTGGCAGAGGGTTGCGTCGCCTGCTTTTCTTCGCCACAGGGGTGAGAAGAATTGGCCAATCGCGGGGGAACAGGTTACAATCAGACCTCAGCATGCATGCTGCCCTCCCTACGGCTCCCACCTACCTTCGGCGACCCTGCGATCGTCCTAGCCTCGGCGTTTCGATGGTACTTCTTCTGCGACAACTCGCTTGCTCCAGCGCGGTGCTTGGTCTGTTGATCGGTGCGGCGTGTTGGGATCGTGCTTTCGCTCAAGAACTAACGGTCACTCCCAGCGAGTTTGTTCTGCGGGGCGAGACTGCTCAGCAGCGACTGGTGGTTACGGCCAGTGATGGCAACCGCCAGTGGGACGTCACGCGGGAAGTTGAATTCGCCTCCTCCGATTCAGCCCTGGTCAGCGTCGACTCCACCGGCATGGTGCGACCCGTCGGCGGCGGAGCAACGACTATCGTGGCCCGGCTGGGCGAACAACAAACTTCGGCCACCGTCACGGTCGAACAGGCCGCCACCCGCCCGGTTCCTATCTTCGAGAACGAAGTGCAGGCCGTACTGACCGCCACCGGTTGCAACAGCGGAGGCTGCCACGGCAAGCAACGCGGTCAGAACGGCTTCCAGTTGTCCCTTTTGGGATTCGATTCCGACTTCGACTACCTGGCCATCACCGGCGAAGCTCGCGGTCGCCGCATCTTCCCTGCCGTGCCGGAGTACAGCCTGCTGCTGCGTAAGGCCACCGCCACCGAACCGCACGGCGGCGGGCGACGTCTTGAAGTGGGCGGGCGACACTACCAGGTGTTGCTCGACTGGATCAGCAACTCACTCCCCCGCAGTGACGAAAACACCCCGGTGCTCCAGCGCGTAACGGTCTTCCCCGAGGAGATCGTCCTCGGCGATGCCCGCAAACAGCAACTGCTGGTGACCGCGTATTACAGCGACGGCTCGGCCAAGGACGTGACCGACCTGGCGACTTATCTTTCCAGTGAGAGTGCCGTGGCCGCAGTCGACGAGACCGGCCTGGTCAGCACCGGCGATGTGCCGGGCGAGGCCGCCATTTCGGCCCGCTTCATGGGCAACTTCGCCACCGCTCGCGTCGCCATCGGCTACGGTAATGACGTGGCCGAGGATATTTACGCCTCGCTGCCCGTGCAGAACTTCATCGACGAAGCGGTGTGGAACAAGTTGCGGCGTCTGCAACTCGCCCCCTCGGCCCCGGCTGAAGATCACGTTTTCTTGCGTCGCGCGTACATCGACGTGATTGGCCGCCTGCCCACCGCGAAGGAAACCCGCGAGTTTCTCACCGACGACTCGCCCGAGAAACGAGCGGCGCTGGTCGATCGTCTGTTGGAAAGCCCTGAGTATGCCGATCACTGGGCCAATAAATGGGTCGACCTGTTGCGTCCTAACCCGTATCGCGTCGGAATCAAAGCCGTACTGAACTACGACAACTGGATCCGCGACGCCTTCCGCCGCAATGTGCCTTACGACCAGTTCGTGCGTGAGCTCGTCACCGCCGAAGGGAGCACGTGGCGCAATGGTGCGGCCACCATGTTCCGCGACCGTCGCTCGCCCGACGAAATCACGACGATGGTCAGTCAGTTGTTCCTGGGCATTCGTCTCGACTGTGCGAAGTGTCATCACCACCCGTTCGAAGTGTGGGGGCAAGACGACTTCTACAGCTTCGCCGCCTACTTCGCCCGCATTGGTCACAAGGGCACAGGCCTTTCGCCACCAATCTCCGGTGGAGAAGAAATCGTCTACCTGGCCTCAGGTGGCTCGGTGAAGCACCCGTTGACCGGCGAAACCATGTCGGCCCGGCCCCTCTTTGGCGAGGCCCCCACCGCGGCCGAAGACGCGGACCCCCGCGAAGTGCTCGCCCAGTGGATGACATCCGAAGAGAACGACTATTTCGACCAAGTGATGGCCAATCGCGTGTGGGCCGACCTGATGGGCCGGGGCATTGTCGAGCCCGTCGACGACCTGCGGGCGACCAACCCGGCCAGTAATCAACAACTGCTTGAAGCTCTCGGCGAGGAGTTCCGCCGGGGCGAGTACGACGTCAAGCATTTGATTCGCACCATCATGACTTCATATGTCTACGGGCTGAGTTCATTGCCCGGCGAGCATAACGTGGCCGACACCCGCAACTATTCCCGCTACTATCGGCGGCGCCTGCGAGCCGAGGTGCTGTTGGATTCGATTTGCAACATCACCGGCATTGAGGAGCAATTCAGTGCCTTGCCTCCCGAGTCGCGGGCGAACCAGATCTGGACCCACCGCGTGGGCTCGCTGTTCCTCGATACCTTCGGGCGTCCGGACTTGAATCAAGACCCACCCTGCGAGCGAACTTCGGATACGAGTGTCGTTCAGGCCCTGCACTTAATGAACGCCCCCTCGCTGCACCAAAAAATCACCAACGATGCCGGGCTGGCCAAACAACTGGCCGACGGCACTTTGGAAAGCAAGCAAGTGGTCGAGGAACTCTACCTTCGCACCTACAACCGCTTTCCGACTGAAGAAGAACTCGCCATCGCAGA